TAAGTTGGATAAAATATCCCACTAGGAGGAGGGCAGCGGCTCCATCTGCAGAACCTGCCCAAGGCCACGAAGCCAGGGAGCAGCAGGATCAAGATTCAAATGCAGCTCTTTTGACTCTAGTAACTTGGTCTCCCTGGCCATGTGGCTTCTCCAAGCTTGGGGCCCCTGCGCTGACAGGCCCCTGTGCTGAGCTTTTGCAGCCACATCAGGTTGTCTTTCTGGTCCTAACTCTAACTTGCTGTGCGATGCACCATTCTGTGATGTTTTTACTGATAATTCCCTAGTTCCTTATTCTCCTTCCCTTGTTAGAGAGAGAGAGAGAGAGAGAGAGAGAGAGAGAGAGAGAGAATATGAATTATAAAAGAAATCCTTCAGTATTTGAAAGGTTCGGGTCCCATTTGGGCTTCTAGGGCAACAGACATCTTCCTGATGGAGCTGGGAGGTCCGTGATGGGGTAGGGAGGTGTGAGGAGGTCTATCCTGGAGGGGTTCTGGCTTATCCAAGACCATGAACCCCCTTCCCACCTCCAACACTAATTGGAGGCAGGTGATTCTAATAAACGCTGCCACTCAGGGCACTGCCCCACGCTAAGGGTCAGTCTTTTCAAGCTTCAGACCTTGGCCCCTATGATCCCTTCCTGAAACGCCGTCCCCTTTTCAGATTGGCCACTGACACTCTTCAAGATTCTTCCTGGAGCCAGGCATAGAGGCCCACGCCTGTCACCCCAGCTGCTTGGGAGGCTGAGGCAGGAGGATCGTGAGTTCAAAGCCAGTCTCAGCAATGGTGAGGCACTAAGCAACTCAGTGAGACCCTGTCTCTAAATAAAATGCAAAATAGGGCTGGGGATGGGGCTCCTGGTCAAGTGCCCCAGGTACCACAAACACACACACACACACACACACACACAATTCTTCCTGGAGGTCAACCTCTCTGTGATATTTCTACAATCTGCCTCTTTCCGTCCAAACCACAGCACTCTGACTATGTCCCCTGGGTGGTCTGTGTCTGGCTTTACCTCCTTCCTGAACTTTGAACTCCTGCAGGCCCAGAACCTTCCTGCATCACCCCTGTAACAGGGTGCTGGGCCCCCGACAGCCTGTCCAACCTGAATGCAAGGGCCACGGTGTGCGCTGCCTTTACTAGCTGTGTGACCCACGGGAGTCACTTCACCTCTCTGTGCTATCATTGCCCAACCCATAAAGTGGTAAAGATAATATCTGCCGTACTCAAGGGTCCTCCATATTCAGTCTTCAAAGACGACATGCCGAGAACTTGCCGGACACGGTAGGACATGCTGCTCAGACACCATCTCTGACTTGGGAAATCACCCTCTGCAGTTAGCTGCACTCACATCAGCTCTAATTATGTAATCATCACCGCTACAGGTGGATGTTCACGTTCACCACAGCTCATGGGCGTAAAGTGTGCACCTCGGGGCCTCGCACATAGTAGGTCCTTGATAAATAGTGACTAATTATAACTGAAGTAAGGCTCTGACAGTCACTGTCGAGACCAGGAGGGCCACCTGGGCCCTGTCCCCTGTCCCCTGTGACCCGAATCCTCACGACAGGGGCCCCTCCCCGGCTCTGTCGGCAGCTCACTCTCCCCCGCCCCTCGTCCATGTGATAAATGAAAATTGCAGATGCTCAGGAGTGTGGAGGGCCCCGAGGACAGCATCATTCTGACTCTCAGATCCAGTTGGTTCACTAACACTGTCAGCAGGAGCCAAGCAGGAGAGGTCAGCCCGGCGGCCCTGCCGGAGCCCTGGCCGGGGAGCTGCTATTTTGCTCCCTGTGTGGGAGGGAGGAGGAGCGTGTCCAGATGCCCCCCACCAAGAGGGGGCCAGATGGGCCAGAGAGAGCCTTGGGCTGGCGACCCGAGGACCGGGTCCCTTCTGCATGGGGTTGATCCCTTTCATGCTTGAAACTCTTCCCTGCTGCCCAATTAGGGGAAGTGGGACTCCTTAGTGCAGCCTTCAAATCCCTGCTTGATCCCACCGTCCTCCTGGAGGCCCTACTTCAGTACGCCTCGCTGAGTTCCAGACATGCTGGGCTTCCTTCAGCTCCTTTTAAGGCCCTGGGGACATGGCCAAAGTGGGGGTTCAAATCCAAGCCCGACCAGTTCCTAGCTATGTGATCACAGTCACCTCTTCAGTCTCTCTGAGCTGCAGTTTACTCATCTGTGAAATGGAGATGATTTCAGAATCTTCTGCACGTGCCAGTTGTGAAGATATTTGGGATGTACTGAGCACTCAGCACCTGGGATGTACTAAGTGCTCAGCACCTGAGATGTACCAAGCATTCAGCACCTGGGATGTACTGAGGACTCAGGACCTGGGATGTACCGATCGCTTAACAAAGTTCAACAACATGGACATATAAGAACAGCATATGCTATTTTAGGGTGGAGCACTGTTCTCCTTCGTCTTTGCTCATCTTGCCTCTGTCCTGCAAGACTCAGCACATCCAAGGATTTCTCAACTTCAGCACTTGTCGACATTTTGGGTCAGCTCATTCTTTGTGGTGGGGACTGTCCTGTGCATTGCGGGATGCTGAGCAGCATCCCTGGTCTCTACCCCCTGGAAGCCGGGGGCATCTCACAATAGTCATGACTGGGAGCCTCCAGACCTTGGCCAGGGTGCCGTGGGTGAATCTGGAGCCCTGAGGGGTGCAGGTCGGGTCCCGAGTTGCGGAGGACACGAGGGGTCAGGACATCGAGGGAGGGGGCTAGGGATGCTTTCTCCCAGCCGATGCTCACGTCCAGGGTTGCCCAGATAATCCAGAGAGAAGGTCTGCAAGAGGTCGGTGCGGCTGGCCTGTGGCTGGCTTTGGAGAGGACCCCGGCTGCAATGCTCAAGGCCCCCCATGGTGTGTGTGCGCGCAGTGGAAATAAACCCAACCCGCGGTCAAGCTGAAGGTTAATTGAATAGTTGATGCCCAGCCGGGCTGAAGGCGGGATTCCCATATTCCTGTTTCCCCATTCAGGCCTCCGACACGTGAGTCAGTCTGGTTTAGGGAAAACCACGCATCTGGGAGGCCTCCTGAGGGACAGTGTGGCCAAACCAAGCAGAAAGGACAGGCTTCCGAGAGTTCCTTGGGGCCTGGGGCTGGGTGGGATCCTCTTCAAGGAAATCTAAGAACCCGGGAACTGAGTAGAGCTCTTCTGTCTGAAGACCTGGGTGGCTCACCCAGGAACTTCCCAGGACAAGGAGAAGTTCATAAACCAGAACCATAAATTCATAGTTACCATGAGGGCAATAGGGAGCCACAGCAGGCTCCTGAGAGAAAGCAGCTTTAGATTTCTATCTGGATCTTCGGCTAAGAAGACCCCCCGGGCTTTCCTTGGATGCTTTCTCTCTGTAACCGCCACCAACCTCCAGAGTCACTAAATGGCCACACCCTTTCTCACTTCTGGCCTTTGCAGATGTCCCTGGCATCTGGGGGACATTTCCTTTCCCTCACCACCTGTCAGGTCGACCTGTCAGCCACCAGCATCCAGTCCCCTCGCGCCCAGAGAGACAGTCCAACCCACTCTGCTCAACAGAAGCCTTCCTGCTGAAGGGACAACCGCGGGGACCCTCTTGGCACCTGCTATTGGGGTGGTTCTGAGCAGACACTGAGAACATGCCTCAGCTGGGTGGGTGGGCGTCCCATTCCAGACCCTCGAGGCCGGGGGACGAGGTGGGGTGGACTTGAGCTGTGGGCTCTGGTAGCCACAGGCCCAAGTTCCCAAGATCCCAAGGTCCCCACGACGGCGGGAAGCGCAGAGCCGTAGGGAGGGGCCCAGGGTCTTGAGGTGGGAGGTGAGGGACGGGGATTCGTCCCCGGGTTGCCCCGCCCCAGGTCCATGGGGGTCAACTTCGCGAGACTTTGCCTCGTCTGGAGTCGGAGGTCCAGGGACGGCCCGGGGCCCCGTCTACTGCCTCCAAGAGCGGCTTCCCGACAGTCGACAGCGATCTGCCCACCGTCGTCCTCTCCTCCTGTGCCGTCCCCCACCTGGCCTGCCGGGAGGTCTTCGTCTTGGGCTTCCTGTGGACACCGCCGTCTGGGTCTGTCCCAGGGCAGTGGAAAGCGCGGGCCGAGAACCCACCAGAGCTTGGGTCTCAGCTCTGCTCCTTGCTAGCTCGGGGCTCCCTGGGCTCAGGAGCCTGGTCCAGCAACGGGCTCGGCACCTCCAGGCAGGATTCTTTGTGAGACGGAGAACTACCTCTAGAGCCATTGCCAGTTGTGTCTTGCACCGGGTAGGGGTCTCCTGGCTCCCTGCAGGGAGGGGGACAACATTCTGGATGGAGCATCTAGTGGTCACCCCATGGAGCCTAGGAAGTGGACCTGAGGTCAGATAAGCCCATTCACTAAACACTCTTCTATTCAGCAATCATTTCCTGAGCACCTATTACATATCCAGTTCTGCATTAGACTCTAGAAACAGAGAGAAGTCAGACCAGACCCCTGACAGAGAGGATCTGGAAGGAGATGCACAGGAAATTAAAGCACAGCCATTAGAAATTAAAGGACACTGAGCATGTGGTACAGGGTCCTCCTCTCTCTGCCCACACGGACCATTTAGTCCTTTGAACATAATAGGCCTGATCCTACCACAGGGCCTTTGCACAGTCTGTTCCCTTCCTACCCATCCTTCAGTTCTGAGTTTTCCTGTCCCATCCCTGGGGAAGCTTTTTCTGACCTTCATCTTTATATCAACTCCCAACATAGACCCTCATAGAACCTTTCCTTATGTTGCTTATGAGGGTCACAGTGTGCAATTTTTTGTGTGCCTGTGTTCATTTAAAGTATCTGTTTCCTTGGTAGCATGACCTTCCTGGGAACAGGGACTCTGCATGCGCACATTGCTGTTCCCGTCAGGGGAATCTCACCATGGGGTCGCCTGTCCTTTGCACAGTCCCCGACACATGATAGATACTTCGTTAGTATGGGTTGAAAGCGCTCGCTCCCCAGCTCCCCCATTTGGCTGAATGGGTCCCCCATCACCGTGACACTCACAACTGGATGTCCAGGAAGACGCGCTTCTCTTCCCCCACGTGGATCTTCCAGACACAGTCTTCGCCCTCCGCGTAGGGCTCTGGCCAGTTTGGAGACAGCACCACCCCAGCCATGGCCGAGAGCTCCCCACCACACATGGCTGCGAAGACAGACAGATTGTGTGAGGAGCCAGCGCGGTGGGGCGCTGCAGGGGGCGCTAGCAGGTCACACAGCCAGGGACCATCACAGCCTGGCTTGGGCTGTCCTCCCACGTGGGTGGAGCAATACAGTGACAGCTGCCTCCACCTCCTCTTGGCTGGAGGCTGGTGCGCATCAGCTAGCAGGGCAGGGGCTCCTTCAGCACCAAGGACAGAGCTCGAAGGCCCTGGTGCATCATAGCTCCTCCCCTAAGCCCCCAGGCCAGGTGGAGCAGCCTGCCATCCCAGTGCCTCGGGAGGCTGAGGCAGGAGGATGGCGAGTTCAAAGCCAGCCCCAGGCACAGCGAGGCCCTAAGCAACTCAGTGAGACCCTGTCTCTAAATAAAACATAAACAGGGCTGGGGATGGGGCTCAGGGGTTAAGCACCCTCCTGGGGCTCTGGTCTTATCTCTGACGCCAGCCTCCACAAAACAGAGGTGACACCATTGCTGGCCTCCTCAGCTTATGAAGAGCCTTTTCAGAGCTCAGGAAGCTCAGGAAGGTCAAGGCCACAGGGCAGCCAGGGGAGGGGGCCTGCTGTGTGGTTCCTGCTGCTGTGGGAGGTCCCAGCTCTGAGCGGCTGGAAGCAGACTGGGGTGACTGGAGCCTTTAAGACCCCCTCGGTGTCTGCCAGGGTGGGAGGCTCGGAGCCCAGCTGAGGCCGGGCACCAATACAGCCCGCTCTGCTGAACCAGCACGTTTAACACGGGGACCATCCCTCATCGCCCTGAGGCTGTGACTCTACTCCCACCGCCACTCAGGCAGCTGCCAGGAGGGAGGGAGGCCGCCCTTCATTACTCCACCTGCCAGGAGTCCGGCTGGGGCTGGCTTTGTGACCTTGGCCACAGGGAGCCAGGGAGGGCAGCCCCTGGGAGCCAGTGGAGGAGGGCCCTGCAGGCCCATGGTGTCCAGAGGGGCCTAGAGCAGGGTCTCTGAGAACAGAGAGACCTGAGTCCCATTCAGGTCTGTGCCGATTACCCTGCGTTCTTAGGCATGTCATCTGACCATGACATTTCATATCTGCAAATGGGGCTGCTCACGTCTACAGGGTGGCAGTGAGGACGGGATCATAGTGCACATGCAGCCCTCGGCAGAGCACCTGTGACGTGCCTGCTGCACACCGACTATCATCATCATTATTATTGAGATTCTGGGTTGCCCTGTACTGTTGGTGGGCTGTGCACTGCACAAGCAGAGAGAGTAGGCGGGAGCTCAGATCCATGTGGCAATGTGCCCAGCACACCGGGCACTGTGAGTCCTGTGCCTGGAGGGAGGGGCACTCTACAAACCATGTATTCATTTTGTAATTTCCCAAGGATTAGCAGCAACCCAGCTCCAAAGGCCAATGGGCTCCGGAAAGGATTTCGATCCTACAGTTGGCGAAGACGCGGCCATGCCTCTGAGCTGGGGCCTTGGTCTCCGGGCCCCACTCACCTCTGCACAGGGGCTCTGTATCGTTCCAGTAGGGGTCTCGCACATTGATGCACTCGATGATGGCGGGCCCCTGCTCCAGGGAGTGGCCAGGGTCGCAGCTGAACTCCACCACGGTCCCGATGTTGTAGGTGGGGTCGGACGTGGTGAAGTTCCCATTCTGCAGGTACGGCTCGTAGCAGTGGCCCTTCTCGAAGGCTGGGAGGGGCACAAGGGGGCAGCTCAGGTGAGTTAATGTGAAACGCAAGCAAGAACCCCTGCCCTCTGGGGTCCCACGAGTCCCTCCCTGTGCCCTGAGAGTCTCATTCCCAGGGCCCGTCACATCTGCATCCTGATTTCTGCCACCAGAGACCATAAAAAGGGCCCCATGATCAAGGCCACGGTTCGGGGACACCGGGTGGGAAGGGGCCGCCGGGCACTGAGCGGCTCAGAGCATCCTGCGCCCCAGGGCCGGGTGCCAGACGGAAGCCCTTGCTAACTCTTCCCGGAGGAGGCGGTGGCTGGATTCTAAGAGGTCCACTGGGTGGGACAGAGCCATGTTTAAGGACGAAAATCTCAGCTGCAATCTCCCTAAGTGCTGGCCTCGGGAAAAGTCACCCGAGTTCCTTGGATGAGTTTAGGTTTCCTCATCTAAAGCAGAGGTGATACCGGGTGCACCCAGTGTGGCAGGACGGCCCAGGAAACGCACAAGCGCACGGACGCACGGCAGCGTCAGCACCGGGTCTGCGGCATGATTGACAGATGGGTCTCCGGGAACCCTAGGGGAGGCTGGCCTCGGGGTCGGACTTCTCCCTCCCAGATCCTCAGCCCCAGCTCCCTCCCCTGGTCCCAGGCCACCACCCAGGGAGGCTCACCCTCAAAGCGGATGTTGAAGGCGGTGGCCGCGGGGCCCTGGTGGGACGTGAACTCGATGCGGATGCTGTTGGCGTGGCTCAGCAGACCCTCGAAGGGGACGCTCTCGGTGCGGAGGGAGTCGTAGAGAAGCGCCGAGGCGTTGGTTCGACCGCTGTAGACGGTCATCCTGGGGGCGAGAAAGGACAGGGGAGCCTGTCCTTAAGGAGTAAGCCATGCTCCTACGGCACTCGATCCCCGCTGAGCTCGGCCTGGGCCTCATTTCCTAAGGTGGGGGGTCAGGAGTCCCCAGCTCCAGTCCCCACAGGGGCGCACATAAGCCTGTCACCCCTGGGCCTCCGTGTCCCCAGCTGTGGAAGAAGGGATCCTAGAGTCCCTCCCAGACCTCCTTAGAGGTGGGCTTTGGGGATAGGTCAACAGAGAGTGCCCCCCAACACAGCCGGGTTAAGATAAAATGTCGGGATTCCTTTTTATTGTCATTTAAAACCACTTCGCACCTGTCGCCCGCTAGACTGAGTGTTTTGAAAATACATCATGCCAAAGCAGGGCAGGAAAGCGGCTTGCGAATTAGGTAAATTTCTTTTATGGAGTCGTAAACACACATTTTTAGTCCTTTGAGGTTTTTTTTTTTTTTTTTACTATGACTCATAAAAACGCTTTATTTGATGCTGCCCGGATGAATTTTTAATGTCACCAAGATGCACACGGGTGGGGGCTGCCGTTTGTTCCTTTTGCCACTTGTTCAGGATGGCGTGCTGGGGAGAGGGGCCATGGTCCAGGCCAGGGGCCACCCAGGACCTGAGAGGGGCGTCTCTACAGTCCTCCTATCCTGTTGACCCTGTCATCTCGGGGGGGCTGTGGGCCAGGAGTCCTCTTTCAAGAGATCTTAGGCAAAATGGGCTGCAATGGAGGGAAACCCTGGGATCTCAGAATCCATTCGTCTTCTGAACACAGCCCCTGTCTAGGGTCTGCAATGGGAGGACCTTTGTCTCAAAGCCTTATGAAGTCTGTGGTTGGGCGGGTCCAGGGAAAGCTGGGTTAAGCCAAAACAAAGCTTTTTTCTTCTGCAGAACTTATCAGAGCCTTTGTTGGCTGATGTGTATCAGGACCTTCCAAGATGGGAGAGGGCGGGCATGCAGGGTCTCCCAAATGTGTTTGTGGGCTACATAGGACAGGGTTGGAGTTTAGGAAGACATCATTTTGGGGAAAGTCATCTAAAATGTTCCTCATGTCTTTCCTCCCGGGCCCCCAGTGCCCTACAGAAGTAGCTGGACTCTCTGAGGCTGTCGGTAGATGACCGTGATTTATCTGCCCAGCCTATGGGCTCTGTGTCCTGTGAGAACCTTGGCCATGCCCCCTCCCAACACACTGCTAATTCCTTCCTTGGATCCCCCTGCCCACCCCTGAGTTGTTCATGCTTGAAACACTCTTTTCTCTGTTATTCTGAGTTTCGTCAATCAAATCTCTTTTCAAGGTTTAGCTCAGATTCCCATTTTTGTTTTCTTTATTTGGTACCAGGGATTGAACTCAGGGACCCTTGACCCCTGAGCCCCATCCCCAGCCCTATTTTGTGTTTTATTTAGAGACAGGGTCTCACTGAGCTGCTTAGGGCCTCACTTTTGCTGAGGCTGGCTTTGAACTCGAGATCCTCCTGCCTCAGCCTCCTGAGCTGCTGGGATGACAGGCTGGTGCCATCACACCAGGCTGAAAGTCTCATTTCTTAAGTTGAGCCTAACTAACCTCTGAGTTAGTAAATATTGTGGTATTTTAGCTATTTTTCTCATAAAAATGGAAAATCCCTTGAACTCCTATTGCCCCTGAAAGTTCTGCTGGCTTCCCACCCACCCAGTGCCCATGAGACTCTGCCAGCCCAGCTCAGAGGGTGGCAGGCAGGGCTGGTCCCTCCAGCAGGACCACTCTGGGGGTGCTCTGTGCTGCTCCCCGCAGATCTCCAATGATCAGAACCCAGCTGTCACCAGCCACACTTCTCCCTTCACGTTCCCAGCCCCTGTGAGCACCCACAGCGTCACCTCCCAGGTAGGCGACTTCCCCGCATCCTGCCTGCTGCCCGCGGAGCCCCGCCTAAGACCCACGTCTAAGCCCTGGAGGTCCCAGTTTTCCACAAAGTCCTAGAGCACGGTGCCGGAGCACACAGGTGTTGAGATCTGGACTCTGTGCCTGGGTTCTCCTGGCTGTCCCCTTGAACTTCTCCCTGCTCTGCGGTGTGCTCGCACCTAGTTGTCCCTCCTCACCCCCCTGTGAACCCAGGCACCACTTCTCTCTGATTTTCGCCTGTTCTCTCTGGAGCCGACCACAGCTGGGCATGGGGCAGGGGCTGGGGAGACGGTCCCCACCTTGTTCCACTGCGAAAGGGGGCAGGAGAAGGGACAGTGAAGGATGGGGACCTTGAGTCCCTCCCTCCCCTCCCCCGCCTGCTGAGTGACCTGGGCCTGTCCCCCTGTCTTGTCCCCCCCCCCCGCCCCCCCCCCCCGCACATCTTGGTCGCTTAATGTGGGAGAGGAAGAGATGGCAGCTGATGGCCCCTGAGGTCTCTGCCACTGTCCCCAGCACTCACTTCCTCGAACTCTGTGAGCCAAAGCCTCTGTCCACCTGGGGACCCCAAACCCTGGTGTCTGGAGGCTGCGGGGCAGGGTGCTGCCCTCCCATGTACCTGTCCTTGTCATGCAGCGAGAGCCTCTCGAAGTGCAAGTGTAGCTTCTGTCCCTCGGGGGCCTCGATGGTCCACACGCAGAACTGGCTTCCGTTGGCATTGGCAGGGTGACTGGGGGAGAGGACGCGGCCGATGGTGGCGTTGTGCACGGCTCCTCCGCAGGGGGCTGGTCCAGCGTGGGTGGGCAGAGAGCAGAGAGAGTGAGGCCGTGGGTGTCCCTCCTCCCAGTCCCACCCTTACCCCTCAGCCTGGGTGGAGCACGGGAGACCCCGTGGAGGAGTTGGGGTGCCTGTGGGGACGCTTGGAAGAGTCTTGTCCTCCAGGAGGCTTCATCTTGTTGGATGGACCCCACTCCATGCCCGGACCCCCGACATGAGTGTGTCATGGGAGGGAACGACTGGGATCTGGGCTCTCTTCCACGGAGCTGGCTGTGCCCCGACTTTTAATTATACAATGTTCATCCAGCGGGTGCGGTGGCCCACGCCTGCCATCCCAGTGGCTTGGGAGGCTGAGGCAGGAAGATGGCGAGTTCAAGGCCAGCTTCAGCAAAAGGGAGATGCTAGCAGCTCATTGAGACCCTGTCTCTAAATAAAACACAGAATAGGGCTGGGGGTGGGGCTCGGGGTGGAGGGTACCCCTTCCTGGTACCCCTCCCTCTTCCGAAAAACATAAACAAAAACAACAAAAACCCCAACAAATCCACCACCAACCACAAAAAAACAAAATAAATGTTAATGGAGAAGGACACAAAAAGTTCACCAGAGAAGACATCCAGCTCAGTAACTCAGGACGCACAACAACATCCAGGCTCACTAATAATAACAGGATGCAGTCTAAACTCTGGGATCCACCTAATTGGTCAAGATAAAAACCCAGAGATGGTAAAGGTCATGAGAAAGGCCACTCTTATCCTTGACTAGTGAGGATGAAAACGTTAGGACCTTTCAGACGGGCAATGAGGCGGAAAGGTGGGAGAGTGGGTTCAAGTGCTCTGACCTTGGAATTGCTGCTCTGGGAATGGATCCTACGAAAGGTTTGGAGGTTTGTGCGTGGATTTAGGAAGGAGGGCGCACCTCACCGCTTTGCTTCTCCGAGAAACCAAGACACAACACAGACTCCTCTCACAGGGGTTTGGTGGAATAAATACACTCTCTCTGGGTGGTTATCAAAAGCCGTGTTTTCAAAGAACACTTACAAACATAAGAAAATGCTCACTATTTTTTAAGTGGGAAAAAAAAGGCAAGACAGAAAACATTCTGTCGTGCATATTTCAATGAGCTGTTGGCCAGGATCCGTTGAGACCATGAATATAAAAGTGATTTGCTTCTATCTTCTACACTTTTGAATTTCTTGAAAATTTTTTTAGCAGAACCATATATTACTTTTATCATAAAAATGTAATAAAGAAATATTAAAAAGTGATTTGTGCCCTAGAAAGAGGTACACAGCTCTCTCAGTTCACAAATGAGGAGCCATTCTGACTCTTATGCCCAGGAGATGTTGGGGTCTTAGGAAATTGTTTTGTCATGTGCTGCCTGGGGAGCTGTTTCTCCATTCTGCATTTTTGCCTCTGTAAGATGTGGGTTTCAGCAGGGAGTGGTGGCCCACACCTGTCATCCCAGCAGCTCAGGAGGCTGAGGCAGGAGGATCACGAGTTCAAAGGCAGCCTCAGCAAGGATGAAGCCCTAAGCAGCTCAGTGAGCCCCTGTCTCTAAATAAAACACAAAATAGGGCTGGGGGTGGGGCTCAGGGGTCGAGGGCCCCTGGGTTCAATCCATCATCATTATTATTTTGGCTTTTCTTGAACACTGGCACCCGGATGAGTTCACGGTGTGTAGCATGTGCTCAGTAAATATTGAATAAACAGCAACCATTCCTTTTGTAAAAGAGGAAAAAGAAGTCCAGAGGTGGTAAGCCACTAGCCCAAGGACACAAGGCTAGGAAAGTGGAGTAGATGGGACTCAGACTCATGATGCTTGACTCTGGAATCTGTTACTGCAGCTACTCCTCCATCCCGTTTCTAATTCATGGTGATATTCTACAGATCTCAGGGTGCACGGAGTATATTGGGCACTTTGTAAATGTTTGTTGATTGAGAAATTAATCTTTCTTTTTTTCATTATGGACATATAGCAAATGCTCATTGAGTATTTGTTGAATGAGTATGTGACTGAATAGGCTTTTTGTGGTGGTGGTGGGGATGTCCCAGGGATTGAACACAGGAGTGCTTAACTACTGAGCCACATCCTCAGCCCTTCTTTATTTTTTTATTTTGAGATAAGGTCTCACTAAGTGGCTGAGGGCCTTGCTAAGTTGCTGAGGCTGGCCTTGAGATGGTGATCCTCCTGCCTCAGCCTCCTGAACGGCTGGGATTACAGGTGTGCGCCACTGCACTCAGCTCTGAATACCGTTACAGCAGAAGAGCTGAGTGGGTGGGTAGGTCTCTTCTCTGCTCTGGACTTTGCTGTGATATGCACCAAAGAAGTAACCAGAAAGGTCCACATGTCCTTCAGGACCATGGACAGAGCCCAGTTTGCCTTCCTGTCCCATCCTGGAGAGATTGTCCCCCAGCCTTGGATTCGAGGCCACTTCCCTGCTGTGGAGGGCACTCGAGGCTCTGAACTGGGTCTCCCTGCTGTAATAATGACAATAATCATTCCACCCTCCTCAGAGGACGCAGAGGGAAGTCACTGAGGTGATCTCTACAGATAGGGCTTGGTGCCGTGCCTGGCTCAGAGAAGGTGCCCCAAACCTTGTCAGTGTCACTCCAGTGTGGTTTGGAGACAGAGATGGAGGACACTGTCCCCGGTGGGGGGTGGCGCCATCTGTCCTCTGGGCTGCTTTTCCCGGGACGCCCCTTGGTTCCCCTCTAGCCTTATGAAGCCGACGGATGGCTCTGTTGGCCTTGATTGCCAGACACAGCTCCCCATCCATCTTCCTCAGCAAGACTGAGGCTCGATTCCTCTTGCTTTCACACATACATATAAATTAACACGAGAGCCGCGGGCACACTAACTGCCCTGTGCTTTGGATTTTCCCTCCTTTGTTTGAAAAAGAGAAACATTCTGCAGGCCTCGGGGACAACACCGCAGCAATTAAATCTCGTAAACATCACCACTCTCATTTGCTGTTTTGGATTCCACTTGACCGCGAGCGCTCGAATCCTGCCGTTTGGTGCCTGGTGTTCACCTCATTCATGGTGCATGGCCTGGCACGTAGTAGGTGCTCAGCCAATAGGGGTCATCTATGCTGCCCCCCCACCCCCAGGACTCTTGAGGTTTTACAAGGGGTTTTGCCCTCTGCTCTGGACTTTGCTGTGATATGCACCAAAGAAGTTGCCAGAGAGGTCCACTCGTCCTTCAGGACCATGGACAGAGCCCAGCCTGCCCCGCGGGTGCAGGGTCAGTGTGACACAGCTGGTGCTTCCCAAACCATGATGTGCCCACGAGTCACCGAGGGTCGTGTGAAATGCAGATTCTGACTCGGCTGGTTTTGCACGGGGCTCAGACGGTGCATTAAGGACCTTGCTGCGAGGACTGAATGTGTAAAGGGCCCAGCTCAGGCGCGGGGCGCTCCGGCCTAGGCCCACACTTGGAGCCTGTACCTCCGCTCCAGGCCTCCCTCACTGAGGGGCGGAGCGCCACCTGGTGGCCACGGAGGCCCTCGGAGCATCTCCGGCCATCTGTGTGCCACACAGCGGCCAGGGCGCTTCTTCCTGGGCCTGAAGCCACACAGATGTCCGCCACTCGTGCACCCATGTCGCACCCGAGGACCTTGAGCCACATGGGTGCTGCCCCCTTACCCGACTGGTCCCGTTTTACTTTCTCAGACGCAATGGCTTCCTTCCCCCTCAAGGCCTCTGCACTTGCTGCTTCACTTGCCTGGAGTGACCGTCCCCGTCCCCGGCCTTTAGCCCAGTTCTCTCCCAACACTCCAGATGCTGGTTTGGAGGCATTCCCTGGGACTCCTCCCTGGGACTCCTTCCCCATCCTCACCCCTCACTCCCACCTTCGTGCCTCCTCCCCGCATACCCTTCCTCGTGGCCACCCCTCTTGCCCTGATTTCTGATGTCTCTCTGGTCCCCACTCATCTGCTTGGGTCCATCCGGGGAGTTCATTTCCTGGCACTTGTCACAGTCCCTAAGTAACGTCACCTTTGGTCCCTGCTGGCTCATTCGCACACTGCATTGTGCACTAGGTTGGAGACCCCCAGAGCCAGGGCTGGGGACAGGCTCTCTGAGACGGCCAGGCACTGGGGCGGCATCCTGCACACAGAGATGCTGCTGGAGGTCTGTGGAGTGACCAGCGGATAGGAACGGCTCTGGGCGACAAAGAGCCTCGGGCGTGTGGGATTCCTTCTGAGTCTTGAAGTCTTAGCTGTTGTCTGCAGAGGGCAGGACCCACAGGGTCCACTCCCCTTGGCTGGCGGGTGCCAGGCTGTGGGCAGGCTACCTTCCCCAGCTGCCTGGTGACTTTAGGCAAGTCACTTCACCTCCATGAGACTTATCTTGAAATGGGGGCAGTGTATCCCAGGAGGTGGGATTAACTACAGCCTCTGGCAGGATGCTCAGTGCATATGAGCTCAGCTAAAAAGAACAAAATGGCGGCAGTCATGCCCCAAACACAAGCAACAAAGAACAATAGATAAATGAGATGTCACCAAAATTAATAATATATTTTTCCTTCCATCAAATGGCACTATCAAGAAGTGAAAAGACAAACCCACAGAAGAGGAGGAAATATTTGTAAATCCTATGTATTCTAAGGGCTTAGTATCCAGAATATATAAAGAACTCTTAGTATTCAACAAGAAAAAAAACAAATAGTCATTAAACCCTGGGCAAAGGACTGGAGCAGAGGTTTCTTTAAAGAAAATATACATGACCGACAAGAAGATGCCGGACATCATTAGTTATCAGGGAACTGTGGAAGCCACCACGAGGGCTGCGATGGGCTCAGTGGTACGGCACATGCCTAGCATGCGCGAGGCTCTGGGTTCAATTCCCAGCACAGCAAAACAAGACCAAACAGCACCTTCACACCGGCTATGACCGCTATGACGACAGCATGGGGTATAACAAGAGGAGAAATGGGTGTCCTCGAATATGGCTCTTGGAAATATAAAACCACTGCATGGGAATATTCCATTTTTTGGATAGCTAAGAGAAATGAGAACTATGTCCACGTGAAGACTTGCATACAAATGCTCACAGCAGCCTCATTTACATCAGCAAAAAGTGGAGGCCACTCCAATGCCCATGGTCAGATATGCAAAAGCTGGTAGAACCATGCAATGCATATTATACAGCCATGAAAAGGAACGGAGCTCCCATACCATCTGAAATCTGAAAGAACCTTGCCAATGTCATGGCCAGTGAGAGAAACCGGTCACAGAAATCACACGAGATATGATCCCGTGGACATGAATTTCCACAATGAGCCGATCCCCGGGTTACAGAAAGGAGCCTGGTGGTTGCTAGGGGTTGCGGGGAGGAGACTGGGGAGGAATTTCTCAGGAGTAGAGGGTTTCCGTTTGGATAAAGATGTCCTGGAACTAGACTGTGGTGATGGTGTCACAATATTGTGAATATACTAAATGTTTCTGGTGGTAAATTTGGTGTAGTACAGGTTTTACCCCAGTTAAGAGGTAAGCCCTCAGGGGTGGGTGTACTCTCCTCTGGGTGGCGGCCGGCCCTGAGCTCCTTCTGAGGACCTGTGTTGGAGGGCGGGGCCGGGATGGGCGTGGCTGGGCGGGCCTGACTGGGGCGGGCGGGGCCTACCCGAGTGGGCGGGGCCTACCTGAGCAGACGGGCTCCGGGCTGCTCCAGTGGGGCTTGGAGGCGTTGATGCAGGTCAGTGTCTTGGCGCCCTGCAGCTCATAGCCCAGGTGACAGTGGAAGTGGGCCACCCCGCCCGAGTGCAGGTCCATCACGGTGACGTCCCCCGAGTCGGGCCGGCGGGGGAAGTTGCAGCTAAGCATGAAGGCTGGGGAGAAGGGCAAGGACAGAGGCCGTCACCCCATCCCGCCAACGGGGTGACCAGTTCGCAACCCACATCCCAGGGGCCCATTTGTACTGAGGAGAAATGACCAGGCCCTGGGGACGCGGGAGGGGGTTGTGACTCTCACTGATTGCGGGGGTACCGAAGTTCCCCGAGTAGCACTGTCTCGGGGCTCAAAACTCCCCGCTCCGCCTAGCTAGTGACAGCAGCTTTGGGGTTAAAAACAACTCCCTGGCCTCATTGACTCTCTCTCTCACACACAGGAGGGCAGGTGCCGCCTGTGCACCTCCCTGTGCTGGTTCAGATGTTAAATGGACATGCCTGTCCTCCCAGCTGCTGGGGAGGCTGAGGCAGGAGGATCGAGAGTTCAGAGCCATCCTCAGCCACAGCGAGGCCCTCAGCAGCTCAGTGAGACCCTGTCTCTAAATAAAATGCAAACTAGGGCTGAGGATGGGGCTCAGTGGTCGAGGGCCCCTGAGTTCAATCCCTGGCACCCCCCAAAAAATAAAAATAAAAAAAATAGAAAAAGCCCCTGGCTGGGGAGCCAGAGCCCCCGGGGGAACACATGTGTGGTCCCCGTCCTTACTCTCTCACTTGGAACCCCGTGGCCCTGAGACTCATCTCCCTGACCTTCCTGTTCTTCATCTTCCTGGGGGAGGTGTTGATGGTGACCCCCTCACGGGAGTGTAAAGATGAAACGAGATCATGCTGGGGGAGGGCAGCCGAGCACAGGGCTGGCGCACAGTAGGCTTTCAGGTGGTGGGGCGCTGGTGGGGCCTGAGCCATGGGCAGCGCCTGATGTCCAGGTCATGCTGACCCCACTCCTAGATGGCGGTTGGGCATAGAACACCTGTCTTCACTCCCAGTGTGTCTGGGGGAGGAAGTTCAAGTTCATGTTTCAACGAGTTATTTTCTCTCTTGTTTTGGGTCCATGACAACAGTACAGGGTGGTCTCTCTATCAACAGGTGTGAGGAGGTGAACCCCTCTGTCTACTGCCCTCCCCCTGGTCCAGAACCCTCTAGGGAAAAGTCAGAAGTGATTTGTTCTTCCAGCGGTCTGGTCCATCAGATATACATGGACATGGTCCCCCAAATCCAGATGTGCGGCCAAGGGCTTCACTGTCCAGGTGGGTATGTTGGTGACTGGCAAATATCCAAGGAGGGGCTCTTAGTTAAGGGAAGGGACATTTGACATCATGGAGCAGCCAGGAGGTGAGAAAATGGGGGGGGGGGAGAAGGGAGGAAGGAGAGAGGGAGAGGAAGGAAAAGAGGGAGACATAAAGGGAGCCAGAAAGGAAGGGAAGGAGGAGAGAGGACGAGGCGAGAGGGAGAGAATCAGGCAGGAAGCAAGTGGGGGAGACCTGGAGACAGAGGGCTGCTGGGGCCACAGGCTCTTCTTCGGGAGTCCAAGGGAGCCTCAGAGGGGACCCAGGGCCATGGACTTGAACAGGGGGAGTGGCAGCTTATTTTCATCAGCCCCTAGCTGGTCTCCAGGACACCTGTCCCTCACGGCTGCAGGCAGCACGGGGTTGACTTATTAGCGGAGCCTGCGAGTCTGTCATAAGAGCAGCGCGGATCATTTTATAGCATAATGTATATCTTGACACATTTCCCTGAAATTGCAGTCATTATCAGAAACGTTAGGGGATATTATCTAATGCAGGGATACAGAAGCTCGTGGATTATGGCAATATTTTGACAACTGTGACTCAACGGGACTGGCTCCTTTGGGGACCGCAGGCTCCCGTTGCTGCTGGAGACACTATCCGGAGAAGGGTTGTCACCTAACTCAACCTCCCGAAGGCTCCCTGGCACAGAAGAAGTTTCGACTCAGTGGGCCAGAGGGACACGGAGGCAGGCGCCCTGTCTGGTGGCCTGGCCTGGCGTACCCTGGTAGTGCAGCTGGAAGGTCCCGAGCCCGCCGTCCTGGAAGGTCCGGAAGTAGACGGAGATGGTGTTGGTGGGGCTTCGGATCACCTGCCCCTCCACCAGGAGCGTCTGGTTGGCCAGGACGGTCAGGGTGGAGCCGTCCACGCCGCGGATGGACAGCAGCTCCCCCTCAGACAGGTTCACGCTCTTCACCTGGGGACGGTAGGGACAGACAGACAGAAACGCTGAGCCTTGTTTGACAGGGCCCTCCCAGGCTGCGAGGACATCAGTGTGGCACCCCAGCTGGCCCAGACACAGCTAATGTGGTACCTCCACCAGCCCCTGGTCAATGGGACCCCCAGGCCCCAAGCCCCAGCCCACAGGAGCCTGGAGCTGTCTGTCCTCTCAGTTCCCTGAAGACCAAGGGGACAGGGCGAAACCAAGCTGGAGGGAAGAGGCGGTGCAAGGGTCCTGTGGTCTGAGGGGCACCCATGGCTGTCCTTGCCGGAGGCTCCTGGGTGCTGGTGGGTTGGATAGACTCTCCTGGAGCTGGTGGGCTGGAGGCAGGGGTCTGGCCAACTTGTGCTTGAGGCCCACTCTCCAGGAGACAGGAGAGGACATCTCACCAGTGTCAACTCCGAGAGGGTGTGGATTCTCCATGCTGCTCAGGGACCCCCGCCCCCATGCCTGGAATAGTGCCTGGTTCTAGTAGGTGCTCAATAAACACTTAGGGGGTGATCGAGCACATTCTCCTGCTCTGTGTGAATTGGCAGGTGAGGGCTGGGGTCTTGTTTCTAGGGTATCCCCAGGCCCCTGCACATGTCCTCCTAACTGGTGGCTCTGTCTGCAGGGCCACCAACCCTCTTCCAAAGAATCGTGTTCTTGTTTGGTCTTTCCCACTTTCTAGGATTGGGCGAGGGAGAAGGGAGATACTGCAGTGGTTTCACAGTGAGGATGAACAGAGTGTGTGCGTGTGCATGTGATTCACACTGCCTGGCCCAAGACTGAGGCCTTCAGAGCAGGGCTGGGGACAGAGCCCCTCTGTCCTTTGTCTAAGCGGAGCAGTCTCTCCCACGAGCCCTTCCTTCTTCAGGCCAGGCATTCTCCTCTTTCACGGACTCCTACTCATTCATCAAAGCCCCACCAACATTGCCCTCACCTTTGAGACCTTCTCTGAGGCCCAAGGAGCATGCCCAGTGCTCCACTATCCTCTACAGCACCCCCCAACTCACCCAGGGGTGTCTTGTGTGTTTCTGTTATGACCTTGAACTCTTTTAGGTGAGGCACTGAGTCTGTCTGTGTGCTACCAGGCCCCCGTGTTGGCCACTCTGCCTGGTGTCACGGAATGAGGAGTCCTACTGTGTGCACACTGTATTAGATACACAGTGGGTCACTTTGAGATACGGAGGAGAGGGCTCAGTAAGCCCCGGGTCAGACGGACTGAAAGTTTTCTCCAGTTTGTTTTATTCCACGGATATCGAGTAACCACCCACGACGGACCCCTGAGAACGCTCCACTCTGGGGGCCGCAAAGACCCCTGGTTAGGAGGGGCTTAGCTTCTGCCCGTCCCGTACAGGTCCAAACGCCTCCCTAGAGTCTCGTTCTGGTGAGGACATCCAAAGACCCCAGCTCAGAAATGGTTCTGTAATTAATGAATGAATGATGGTACCAGGATTGATCTCAGGGGGCACTGGACCACTGAGCCCCAGCCCCAGCCCTATTCTGTATTTTATTTAGAGACAGGGTCTCGCTGAGCTGCTTAGCATCTCTGCTTTGCTGAGGCTGGCTTTGAACTCAGGATCCTCCTGCCTCAGCCTCCCCAGCCACTGGGATGACAGGCATGTGCCACTGCACCTGGCTCTTTATTGTCCTTATCGATGGCTTTTTATGGTCTATTAGAAAAAGGAACGCATCCAAAATCCTAACCTTGGCCCCAAAAGGTCAAGGCCACAGGGTGTGGGACCCTTTTTCTGACCCCACTTTCTTCCTTTCCTCTGTGGGACCGTTTGCTGGATAGCACCCCACCCCCAGGCCTGCCTCCAGGGTTCATTCTGCAAGGATTTCAAAAGATGGGGCGACCTCCCAGGAAGGCTGGAGCCAGGTGCTGGTGTGCTGAGGGCATAGGGCAATGCGTCCTGAGCATCGTGTCCTGTGTCTGGGGGCTCTGGCCAAGTGCTCTCTGCTCTCTCTGGATTGCTGTGTTTAGTCCTCCTTCAAACTAGTCACAGTACTTCTATTTTACGGAAGGGGAAGCTAAGGTTCAGAGAGGTGAAGATCTTTGCCCAGGGCTGCACAGCTTTGACGGAGCTAAGACTTAGCACATGGATGTGTGAGCTCCCTGTTTTTCTTTTCATTCACAGAGAAATGTTTAGGAATCCAATGAACCAGGTGGGCTTCCCCGTGGGTGTGTGTTGAGCAGCAGGATACCAAGGGCCTCCCTCCTGGAGAAAACCTCCCCCATGTTCCAGGGTTCCATGATACTCCAGGGGCTCTCAGTTAGGGACCCCTACTCACTTGACAAAACCCAGCTCAAATAGCCCTGGTTGGAGAGAAAGAGAACCGAGCTGCTCAGGTGACAGCAGGAGGCCTGGCGGAGACCACCCTCCCGGGAAGTCCTGCGGGAGGAGGCGGCGGCAGGAGCCCGGCCCGGTTACCTGGAGCTCCACCCCGTAGCCGGTGTAGACGGTCACGTTGTAGGTGCACTCGAGGAAGCTGTTGAAGGGCAGCGGCGGGTAGTCGCTGGAGTCGATGTAGCCCTCGGGGTCGGAGAAGCTCAGGCTGCAGAGGGCTGAGGGGAGCATTGGATCAGGACACGGGGCCACTCATGGAGGCTCAAAGCCCACGGCAGGCTGTGTGTGTGTGTGGGGGCTTCTAGGGGAAACCGCGTTTTCGTCCCTCCGGCTGCTGTTGACTCCTTAGCTCTAGAACGGATGTGATCATCAAAGTGGCAATAAAATACCCAAACCAAGCCACTGAGTGCTGCTGGATGCCTTTCTAAGCAGCCTGCAGGGCTGACCCACTTATCCCCATAATATCCTCAGATCCATTTTAGAACCAGGTCAAAAGCTCAGAGAGGTTTGCTGGGTGGCCAAGCTCACACGGCAAACGCGAGTCAGACTCAGAGCTTACACTCTTCAAGGAGACCCCACCTTGCTGGGCTGTTGGGGGCCCCTCTCCCACAGGTGAAGGACTCAGTGCAGAAGTGCACGGTCCCCCGTCTAGAGGAGCACATGCAGAGCTGCCCCTGGACATTACCAGAGGTTTGCTCCGGAACTTCCTCAGATATCAAAGTCTGTGCATTCACGAGTCCCTTAGGAGAAAGGGTGTCCTATTTTCAGAAGAACCTGTGACCCTTTACCTACCTACTTCATTTAGATTATTACATATTCGTGTCATTATTTATAATCCTGGCTACCGTCTGAATGCTGGGCAAATAGTCATCCTAGGGCATGGATTAGGGATAAGGATGGGAAAGAGTTTGTACATGATTAGTGCAGGTGCAAATTTTCTCTCTTTCTCTTTTTGAACCTGGGATTGAACCCAGGGTCACTTAACCATGAGCCCCATCCCCAGCGCTTTTAATACTTTATTTAGAGACAGGATCTCACTGAGTTGCTTAGGTCCTGGCTGTGGCAAGGCTGGCTTTGAACTCCCGATCCTCCTGCCTCAGCCTCCCGAGCTGCTGGGATGACAAGACAAGTGCCACCACGCCCCACAGATACAGAGGACAACGTCGTGATGAAAAGAAATGTCCCTGGGGCTGCTGGGGACGTGGCTCAAGGTGGGGGCTCGCCTAGCACATGGAGGCCCTGGGTTCAGAGCTCAGCTCTGCAAAAAGTGGGGTGGGGGCCTCGGGAAAGGCCAGAAGGCCCCCCCTGCCCGCCAGCGTCGCTCCCTCGGAGCCGGGACATCCGCTGGGCGGCAGCCGCGGGCTGCGGGCTCAGTACCTGGCGCCTGCTCGGTGGTGATGACCGTGGTGGTGACGATGGTGGACGTGGTGGTCTCCTGGCTGTCCTCGGAGGCCGAGCCTGTCAGCTCGTTGTCGCCTTTGTCCATCAGGGTCCCGGTGCTGGCGTCGTCGGGGGTGGCCTCGTGGGCGTCCTGGGGCGCAGCGGGCTCCTGGGGGCCGGGCCCCTGCGGGAGCGTGTGCGCCACCCAGGGTTGCGAGGTGAAGGGTGCCAGCTGTGGCGGCGCGGGCGTGGTGGGGACCGTCCCCTCCTCCCGCTCCGGCCAGCCGTGCACCTCCGAGGACGGTTCGGAGGCCACCACAGGGTCCAGGTCCCCCGGGGGACGGGGCTCCTCAGTGGCGGAGGAGAGGAGGGCCGGGCGCGCGGCGCGGGACCCTGCGCTTGGGACCGCCGCTGCTGAAGTGGCCGGTGGCCACAGGTGCCCCTGCCTGATGGCCGGCGGCTTCCTCTGGGGCGGGACCCTGTGCTCGGGGCCCGTCTCCTCTGGAAGCAGCGGCGACAGAGCCGGGGGCTGGGGATGCGCCGAGGGTCCTGTTCCTTCCAGCTCCGGCCCCCCGAGCTCCTCCCCCGACTGCGCGGGGGTCGCAGGGACCATCGTCACCCCTTCCTCGGGGCTCTCTTTGCTCAGGCTGCCGCTGTCCAGCGCGTCGGAGGGCAGCAGGTAAGGATCGGAAGGACCGAAGGCGCCCTCTGGTCCCACATCTTGGGAAGAGAAGAAAAGACACCTGTCAGCTTGGGTCTGCAGGGGTAGAGGGTCCCCAAGGCGTGCAGGCTGCCCTTTAGGTCCTCCCCTCCCAGTCCCCATCCCTCCTCTGCTCCCTTCCTGTCCTCCCTTTTCCTGAAAGATTTGGGGTGGCTCATGCTGGGACCCAGTTAAGCATCAGGACTGTAGGAACCAAGGCCACAAGTGTCAAGGTCTAGTTGGGTATGCGCTAGATGGCCGGCAGTGGTGGACAGGAAAGTAGAGACAATCATATTTCTAAGCAGTAACAATTAGAGAGCGAGAAGTTTGTGTGCTAACAGGACAGAGAGGACAGGGTCTTCACACAGTCTGCCATATACAGTTGCACATGTTGTCCATCACACAAGGACACCTAAGAGGAGGATATGTGAAGACCCATGAAGGCCCAATGTGAAAGAGGACTTGGAAGGGAGCTGGAGGCACAGGTGGAGGGAGATTAGGGACAGCCCTGGTTATGTAGGGAGGCAGGGGCCAGGACTTTGTGGGTCTTCTTGCTGTGCCACGCTTGTGACTCATTTTATCTCTTTATTTTTTTTTTTAAATATAGCTTTTAGTTGTTGACGGACCTTTATTTTATTCATTTATTTGTATATGGTGCTGAGAATCGAACCCAGTGCCTCACACATGCGAGGCAAGCACTCTACCACTGAGCCCCAGCCCCAGCCCTCATGTTTATCTTGAAAGTAAAACCATCTACAGATGCTCCTCCAACTCTGCTGCCTGACACCATTGCAAATTGAAAACACCGTAAATTGAAAACGTGCTGGGGACATCTGACCTACCCAGGGTCAGGATGGTCCCAACTGTCCATTAGGTGGCGCCCCAGAGCTGCGGCCCCGCCCCCGCCCAGCCTCACAGGGGAAGATGTACCATATGTTGCCTGTCTGCAAAAAGACCCAGATTCCAAATCCGAGGCACAGTTTCTGCTGAAGGCATATTGCTCGTATGGCATCATAGAGTCAAAAAGTCCTGAGGGAGCTGAGCCTGGTGGCCCACTCCTGTCATCGCAGAGGCTCTGGAGGCTGAGGCAGGAGGATCACGAGTTCAAAGCCAGCCTCAGCCACAGCGAGGCCCTGAGCAACTCAGTGAGACCCTGTCTCTAAATAAAATACAGAACAGGGCTGGGGATGGGGCTCGGTGGTTGAGTGTCCCCGAGTTCAATCCCTGGTACACTCCCTCCCCCAAAATTAAAATTCCTAAGGGAACTTGGGGACTCGGAGAACCACTGAGAGATAATTTTTAAAGGGCCTTCCTGGCCTGAATCCTGCTTGAAAAGAGCTTTGTGGACCCTCCTTGGCCCAGCTCTTCCGGGTGCCGGTCAGTGGCTTCCTCTCTGTGAGCCTCAGTTGTCCTGCCTGTCAAATGGGGCTGCTCTCCCCGGGCTTCCCTCAGCACCCGGGACAGCGCCTCTCTCACAGGTGGGCTCTGTCACTGCCAGCCACTGTCACCATTCCTCCCGTCCCCGGTCAGGATGTGAGGATCTCCAGATGGAGAGAAATGACATCGTGGGACAGAGGCGCTGGGCCGGAGAGCCATCCTCCTGGGTTTCCTGCAGAGAGGCGCTCGGTCAGCGCCGTCGCCGCTCTGGGGGCCCTCAGGGATGTCATCTGGATGCGTCTGGGCAGCCGGTGGGAAGGTTCACTTGCTCTCATGGAGTTGGACTCGGAGGCTGGATCCACAGACGGCGAAGGTTTGCAACCGGCAGCCACAAATGTCCCTGTTGGGGAGCATGGCTCAGCAGCCGGCGTTCCCTCCAGGATGACAGCCGGCAGAGGAGAGGGCATGCAGGGGACAGCGGGGCAGGCCAAGGTCGTGAGGGGCCACGCGGGCTTCCTGGGACTGGCCTGGGGTTCGAGTCCCCCGGCCGCAGGAGCCTGGACGAGCCGGTGACCTTCCCCAGGCCCCGCACCTTCTGGGGTGGAATCGGGATTTTCCAACTCGACTCGGAGGATTGGATGGGATGCGAGTTTGTTCCAAAAGCGGTGGCTTTTACCAAAGGATTGATGGTGACAGTCTCTATAGACTGTGCAGTGAGGAGAGGGTGACCAGACAGAGCTGGTGGAGGTGGCGGGTTGGGACATCCAGCTCTGGGGCCCAGCTGTGGTTGATACCAACAGCTTGGGTGCAGCCAGGCTCAGGGGTCCCCAGGGGTCATCCTGTCTGGGCCACCACTCACCAGCACAGATGCTCCTGGGTCTCTCTAAGTGTCAAATATGCAGCCTGATGAGCGTGACAGAAGGGCCCATGTAGCTGTGACATTGTCTTTGAAACAAACAAGCAATTGACAATTATTTTTAGAGCCCTTGTTAACCCTGCTAGGCTGGGCAAAGTCCCCAGCCGGCTGATGGGCTCTGTTTGGTCATGTGGTCGGCTTCCCAGACAATGCCCTCCGTCACCAGGGGGCAGGAGGAGACGAGGGAGGGAGACCATCAGCAGAGTAAGTCTTGTCATCTGCACATACGAACCCACAAAGAGCAGGACACCGCACCTGCCGTGGCAATAGTGATGTTTGAAACACTATACTGCGCTGGCTGGGTGCCAGGAATGCACAACTGCGTCACACCCATTACCTCATTCAGTTCTTTCTCAACCTTGCAAGGGAGAAATTATCACTCCTGTTTTACAGACAAGGCTTTGGGATCCTAAGTAAATTTTTTTTTTTATTTTGGTACCAGGGATTGAACTCAGGGGCCCTCGACCACTGAGCCCCACCCCAGCCCTATTCTGTGTTTTATTTACAGACAGGGTCTCACTGAGCTGCTTAGGGCCTTGCTGAGTTGCCGAGGCTGGCTTTGAACTCGTGATCCTCCTGCCTCAGCCTCCCGAGCTGCTGGGAGCAGGTGTGCACCACCACACCTGGCTCTAAATAAATCTGCAGTCCACCCGGCATTTCTTTCTTGATTTCAGACTGTGCGGCTGGCTCTGTTAGGAAATTCTGGTGTTGCTTGGTATTCCCCTCAGCTTGGACAGCACCTTGTTTGTTCCCTCCCAGACTCTCATTTTGTGGCTCTGGGTTCTAGAGTTTTCTCCAGGATAATCCTGCCTGCCCCCAGATTCAGACCCACCAACTCTCTATCTCTAGGAATGAGTCCTAGGGAGCTCAGGGTTGCCAAAACCCCTCTGGCAATTAAAAGTTTTTGTCAATGGACACAATTATTTGGAGCTACTTGGGGGAGTCCAATATGATAACTCAATACATGCTAAAATGCGTGATGATCCAATCAGGGTAACTAGCACCTCCCTCTTCCTAAGCCGTTATCCTTTCTGTGTGTTGGGAACCTCTGGGCTCTCCTTTTTCAGTATTCTGAAATAAATCAGGTGGTCAGCCATCAGACCCCAGTTGCTGTCCTGTGCTGTGGGAAAAATCAAACTGTGTCTTGGGGGTTGTTCTGTTCACTCTGTGCTCACTTCCTGACCCTTCCTCGACTCCAGGGATTACATTCTATTTTTCCATGAGAACTGCATTTTCAGTTTCCCAGATGGATGAGATCCCATGATATCTGCCTTTCTGTGCCTGGCTCATTTCACTCAACATGAGGTTCCTCGTTCCAGCTGTGTTGCCTGCAAATGACAGATCCCTCCCTTTTCCGGGCTGTATAGTATTCCACGGTGTATGAGAACCACATTTTCCTTATCTGTTCACTTGTCAGTGGACATTTCAGTTGGTTCCATAGCGTGGCTCTTTTGAACAGTGCTGCAAGGGCAGATGCCTCTGTTGCATACTGGTTCTATGTCCTTTGGGTACATGCCCAGGAGTGGGACAGCTGGAGCATATGGTAGTTCCATTTCTAGTGTTCTGAAGAACCTCCATCCGTGGCTCTCCATTATGGCTGCACTGTGCTACATTTCCAGTAGCCACGTAGGAGAGCTGGCTTTTGTCCCTGTCCTGGCCAGCATCTATATATTTTTTTGGTGTGTGACAACGGCCACTCTAACTGGGGTGAGGAGCCACGTCGTGGTGGTTTTGATTTGCATTTGCCTGACAGGGAGGTGTGGTCACTGGGAACCTGGGGTCTTGCTGACTTGCTACGTGGTCCTCCTTCAATTTGCCCTCTAGGTGCTCAAGGGTGCAGGCATCAAGAAGCAGGTGTGGGTTCGAGGGACAGGGGGTGACTCTGTCTCTTTCCAAGGCCTGTGACCTCCCTTGGTGATCTCAGTCCTCCAAGACCTAAATATCACCAATGGAAGTGAAAGGAAGTACAGGGGACAGATTTCATCATCACTCCCCCCCCCCCCCACCAGCCCGGGGTCCCCAGGGTGGTGGGTGTGAGCCAGAGCTAACTGGAAGGACTAGAGAGAGGGACTCCAGCTGGGGACAGTCAGCCTCTTCCCTTGAAAGCCTGCCAGTCCAGGGGACTTTGTGTCCACCACTATGCCTGTCTCTCTGCCCAGGCATTCCCCCGCTGCAGATCCCACACAAGCCGGACCGTCTTGGGGGCTCAAATTTATAGTCTGCAACCTGTGCAGCTGGTGAGCTGCTCGCAGGCTGCGCGATGTCGTCTGGATTGGCCCTGGAGCCGGGGATCTGGCAACTCCATAACTCGCTCTAATGGGCTGCTTTTTCCTGGGGGCCCCGTGGCCATTAAGTTAAATTCAGTCCTTTTCCTCAGAGCGTTTAAAACCCTCAATCACCCCCGTCACACTTGGCGGCTGCTTCCTTCCTGATGGCGCGCATTCAGGGCTCTGGCAGATGCTGTCAGTCAATCTGCGTGCCACCCTCCAGCCAGAGCAGGGGACCCCCTTTCTCCTTCGGGGGACACTCTGAGAGATGCTCTGAGAGATGCCGGGGACTCAGGGAGACAGACGCAGACCCATGACCACCCAGAGCTCGGGGACGGGATGGAGTCTTAATGAAGTGCGCATCCGTGTCGCTCTCTCTCCAGGGACCGTCCGGGGATGCAGGAGGCAGCTGGGCATCTCTCCTGCCGTCCAAGGAGGGGCGCCCTCCTCTGTCCCCTTT